CCCTTAGGGAGCTTTTGGAGTGCACACCGCTTATCCTGAGAGCCACTGTCCGTTCAGGGGATATTTTTACCCCCTTTGGCCTGGCACATGAACAGCCCTGCCCTGATAACAGCTGGGGCAGACGGCCCAGGCTGCAGAAGGTTAATGGAGCCAGGCAGGTGATGACAGGAGCTCCATTATTAGCTGGGCACCGGCTCCTTGGCTTCCTGTAACTCACACCAGCAGGGCAAGGGACCAAGGGGTTTCTGAGTTGCTTTTATTTCCCCAGGTGCTCTTCACCTGTCTTAATGACTTGTTTTTCGTGGTTGGCTGAATCAGGAACAAAAGAGAGGGCAGGACACAGGACTGGGCCACTTGGCTTTAGAACTAAGGTGAAGCCAGTCTCTGGGACATTAAGTTTCTACCAGGCAGGGGAGGGCCGAAGTGGCTTTAGAGCGGCCAGAGGCCTCAGGGAAACTGAGCAGATGTCCAGGCCCAGATTCTGTGAAAAGGGACTTTGGAAGCACTGGGATGGCTGTCTACACAGGCTTAGCTATCTGCACAGATTCCACGCGGAAGTAGCCGCCTTTGCTGTCGCTGCCCAGGGTGGGATTGGGGGAGTTCTTCCCTGCCCCAGAAGTGAGTCATGACAGCCTTAACCCACACTGCCCTGCCTCCCTCCCTGGAGGGATCCCAGAAGGCTTCCTGCAGTTGCTTCATAGTCGGGTTTGTGGAGCGTGGCCTAGTGTGGGTCAGATACTCAGGGAAACCAGCTCCTGAACAGCATGGGAGGGAGAGGAGCTGGAGGCAGGGGTTATCCTCCCCTCGGGACATTACACACAGGCCTCTGCCTCATAAGGGGCTGGTGTCACCTGGGAAAGGTTTCCTTCAGGCCCATGGAGCTCATGTAGAGGAGGAACACACAGCTGGAGTGACTTTGTTAATTTTTTTTAGTTGTTTTTATTTCAGAGAGGACGAAAAGTTAGAAATATCATTGATCTGCTGCCTCCATCTGCCTCCTGCACTCTCCCTACTGGGGATTGAGCCCAAAACCTGGGCATGTGCCATTGACCAAAATTGAATATGGGACCCAGAAGTTCACAGGCCGATGCTCTATCCACTGAACCACACCAGTTAGGGCCGGAGCGACTTGTTTTTGCATTTGATGGTGTTTGATTTTGTGTGTCAGGGAAATGGGTTTTAACACCTACTGGAGTCCTTACCAAGCCAAACCCCGTAGCCATCACATGTTTTAGCTCAGACACCTAGCCAGTAGTTATGGTAGAGACCAATAGCTGAGTGATCGTGTGTTCATAAGACTAAGCCTGCAGTGGAGACTTGGGGATGGGGTGACTGGAAGCAGCCTCACCAGCTTTTTGCTTTTTCTACCAACACTTGGCTACAAAAGGAGCCGTATGTGTTACAGGGATGCTCCAGGCCCGCAGCCTGAGCCCTGGGGGACCGCTCCCTTTGCAGTCACGACATCCTGACCCACACCTGACACTACTTTACCTGTTCATTCACCATGATCTATATTCCTGCCATCTGCGCTCCAGCCTAACTTGTGCTTCCTCATCCTTCAAGCTGGAGAATTGACTCCTCTTAGCAGCCTTCCCTAAGTCCCGCCCCCGGCTGCTCAGCTGTCCCTGCTCTGTGTCCAAGTGACACCCTCTGTGCCCCATGTACTTAGCACCCTGTGGTATGTGCTCTGTCTACATGTCTGTGAGCTTCCTGGGAGAGGTGTGGAAGTAAAAAGAAAGAATTAATGTCATTGCCCACCCAATGTGGCTCAGAGGTTGAGTGTGATCCCAGATCCCATAACTGAAATCTGACTTCTGTCACTATCTAGACATCCTTTCTGTGCATATCTGCGTCTTTGGCTATAACTGAATCATTCACATTTATGATTTTTGTTGTTGTTGTTGTTGACTGAAAGCATCTTCATCGCCACAGTCACCACACAACAGCCACTGCTATTTGTTGTACCCTTTCTAGAAGCCTCACCTGAGGATACGCTTAAAGACATTGTATTTCTTTTAAAGGTATTTTTATTGATTTCAGAGAAAGGAATGGAAAGGGAAAGTTAGAAACATCAGTGATGAGGGAGAATCATCCGTCGGCTGCCTCCTGCAAACCCCCGACTGGGGATGAAGTTAGAAACTGGGCATGTGCCCTGACCCAGAATTGAACCGTGACCTTCTGCATGGGCTCATACTCAACCACTGAGCCACATTGGGTGGGCAATGACATTTTATTCCTGATAACAGCCCCTCTCTCGCTTCACTCATCACCATCACCACCACCCAGTGCTGAGTGGGCCTTTGCAAAAGGCTGGAGATTTTTGGTATTTATCTCCTGTGCAAAAGGAATGTCAGAGAAATTGCTGCCAGGTTTTAACTGCCTCTGTAGCAGACGTTTGAAGTAAGACAAAGGGTTTAAATAAACGGGTTTCCACACAGCAAAAACATGTGGCTAGGTGATAAACATGTTTTTATTTCTCTACCTTGTGATGTTATTTTAGGTCTGTGATAGGATGGACCATTACTTTTTGTTAAATATTCTATCTCAGCTGGCTTGTTTCCACTTCCTGCTTACTTAGAGTTCCATGTAGCCCCTGGGCTGTGAGTTGTATCAACTGTTCTAGGTGGTGCCAGACAGACAGGAGGTGAGAAATGAGACTAAAGGAAAAGAAACCCAGATTTTCACAGTTCTAAAGCATCTGGCCTCCTTGCTGTGCATCATGACCTCCTTGCTGTGCATCACGTCCTCCCTTCCCCCTCTTTACCCAACCCAACCTTTTTATCTGAGAATATGCTTCCAGGGCCGGGGATGGAGCCTGAGAAAGATGAGATGAACAGGATTGGAAGACAGTATTCCTTCCCCCAGATCTCAAGTTTAGCCCAGGGTCTGGCTTTTCAAACTTGAGATAGGAGAATGATTGGGAGGTTGTGAGGGAGGGGGGAGACTAGAAATGGATGACATTTTCCTTGGAATGACCCCATCGTTTCTGTGCCTGCTGCCTTAGCAACGCTAGGACAATACGGACTTCCAGAACAGCCACTTACTTACTGACCCCAATCCAGTAATCAAGTATTTCTGGTTATTGGAATTCACATGACTGCCAGTTACAGCCATGAAAAAAGTGAACAGTATGGTTAGCAAAAATGTCACAGGGGCCCAGATGGTGTGCTCAGTGGTTGAGCATTGACCTATGAATCAGGAGGTCAGGGTTCAAGGTCAGGGCATATGCCTGGGTTGCAGGCTCAATCCCCAGTGGGGGGTGTGCAGGAAGCAGCTGATCAATGATCCTCTCTCATCATTGATGTTTCTATCTTTCCCTCCCTTCCTCTCTAAAATCAATAAAAATATATATATATATATATATTTTTTTTAAATGCCGTAAGGGTGGTTCAGGGCCACTCATCTTCGCCCCGCCTCGCTCCAAATGAACACAACATCAGCCTAACAACTTCCTGTGTGGATGCAGCTCTTAGATGTGTCTCAATCGCGCACTTACCCTCCACCCCGTCCCTAACCCGCTCCTCCACCTGAGTCCTTCCCAGGCAGCAAACATGGAGTACTGCTGCACTCCCAAGCTCATTCCACCCAATTCTGCCTCTCCCTCCTTGTCAGTCACACCCAAATAAAGGAAGGCCTTCAGCTTAGACAGCTTGCTATATGTAGTTGTCTGTTGGCTTATATTGACCAACCTTAAGAGTTGTTGTGTTTTTGCTGTTTGGTTTTTGTTTTTGTGGGTGTGGATCCTGTCACTCCCTCTCACACTTAAATTCTTGCTTGTCCTGATTAGACAGAGATTTTTTTTTTAAATTCAGAGGACTGTTCCCACCTGCTTCTAATCAAGGTCTTAAAATCAGGACTAGGAGGTGGGAAGTGGTGATGTCTTCTCATCAGGATGGGCCTGATTAAACTAGTGATGAATAGGTGAGCGAGAACACACTATCTTTGCTTACAGTTCAGCTGTCACACTCAGAGCAAAGCTGACAGCACTGAAAACCACAAATGCAGATGGGTTCTTTGTATACATATCCTCTGTGAGTTGGTCAAATACCAATTTCTTTTACAAAATGACATCCCATCATCCCTCCTACCTCAGAGAAGGCTGATCACCAGTCATGGTGGTGCTCGTCCTGCAGGTCTTACATGCCACTTGCTCAGACACCTCCCCTGGTCCCAAGAAGATGACCGGATCTCATGGCTTCCTCAGCAGGATTTACCAGAATTTGTAAATTTGCTTGTTTGTGTGACTTTTGGGTTTGCTGTTGCTTTAAGGAATGTGTGTCTCCCACACCACGCTCTGTCTGGGCAGAGGCTGTGCCTGTGTTTTGCCTGTTTACTCTGTTGGGTTCCCAGCACCTAATGTAACACTGACTATCCTGGGACTCATAAACGTTAGTGGGAGGGGGAGAGGAAATTCACGGATATAGAGGTGCCAGAAACCAAGTGTTTAACACTGTCAGTCTCAGAGACATCACTTTGTAATAGAGACTTAAACATTTCCTCCCTCGAGCTGTCTTCATTTCCCAGCCCTTGACCACACCACTCGCACAGCGCTTAGTACGCAGTATTTATCGGTCATTTTTTAAGGAGCCCATTTTACCTGCTGGGTTGAGAGCTTCTGCCGGTGGAGGCGGCATCTCCTTACCTACATTCCCACTCCGGACTCAGGGATCTTCTGATGGACTGAAGGGGATTTCCAACGTCACTCTGAGGCTGTCATTAGACGACTACTTGGCTACTTTTTTTATTGATTATGGTATCACATAATTGTCCTCATCCCCCCATTCCCATCCCAAACCCCTCTTCACATATGCCCCCACCCCCCTGTTGTCCATGGTGACACCTTTGGCTGATTTGTCCAAAGCGTTTTTCTTTTTCTGTGGTTGTTCTCTGCCCAGGTGTGATGGCTAACACACCGTTAGATGTCCCTTACGTCTTGTGATTAGCCCTGAATGTTCCAGGTAATTGATGCTGACGAGGGCCTCTCTTGTGCTTGTCTCCAGGATCGGCTGTTCTTTGTGATGGAGTTTGTGAACGGGGGCGACTTGATGTTCCACATCCAGAAGTCGCGTCGTTTTGACGAAGCGCGAGCTCGTTTCTATGCTGCAGAGATCATTTCGGCGCTCATGTTCCTGCACGAGAAAGGCATCATCTACAGGTGAGTCCTGACTGCTTGTAACTCCTTCCATAATTCATAGCCTGTCCCCTCTCCTGGCTTAACCTAGCCTCTGTTTCTCATGATATTGAAGTCTTTGGGGAATTAAATTCACAAAGGTTTGAGTGTCTGTTAGGATAAACAAATAATGTAGTGATCAACATTGCCTGTAGAATAAAACTTGTCCCCAGGTGGAATGTAAAATAGGCTGAGAAGAGACTATTCATGAGTTCGCTCAGCTGGGGTTTGCTAACGGCCGGTATAGCCAAGTTTTGCAAGGTGCTGAACACATTGTTGCTCTCTCTTTTTCTTCTTTAGTATTGGAAATGATTGGTTCCATTTAAAAATTCCTGCCTAAACAGACAGGTGTGATCACTGTTGCCCTAAGTTGATGAGAATCCCACTCAGATAAGGTGGTGGCTCACCAGCTGAAACTCTGAGAGGTGAACTATTGATGCACAATGTCCCATCTGACGATATTTCTCATTTGGAGCCTCCTCCCAAATATTATTTGACTCCATTTCACAGCACGCAATTCTTTGATCATAATACAGCATCATTGAAAGGGCTTGAAATCTGGTTGCTGTTGTTAGAGCCTAAGGAATATCAGATGAAACTTTAATCAGACAAAAGAAGATTAGGTAAAGTGGGAATGTAATTGTGGATTTCAGACAATCGTTAGTCTTAAATGTTAATCTTTTCCCTGTTACCACCATCCCTCTTCCTTTAAATCACAGTATAACTTAAGTGCTACATATACTCTTTATTTTCTCTTGAGATGCCATCTCTTGAGAAAAATTCTTTCTGACAGGAGGAGAATGAATGTCGACAAAGAATTTCTTGATTGAAACTTGCTATGTGGTAGCTTTGCTATGTGCTTTTCCTTTTGCAACCTCATGACAGAATTGTCATCATTATCAAAGTGCAAGAGAACTCTGGCGACAGGGCATTTTCTCAAATACCCCACGAGTCAGCAGAGGAGGAGAGGAGGGAGACTGGTATAAGACTGGAACAGGATGCTGATGATGCCAGAAAGACATGGGAAAGTGACGGAGGGAAACAGGCGCACTACTGAAATGTCCCGAAGCTACAGGTAGCCACGCCCCAGCAGTGAAGTAGCGAAGGGGGTGCAGAGCAGAGGCCAGGCCTCATGTCCCCCACAGGGACTGCCTTCGAAGGTCCTATGAATCTCTACTCATTCTTGAGTCGGGGAGCTGCCCCAGGTGACCGTGGACAGTGGTGCTGTGAACTTTCTTACCCAGGCACAGTGTTTTCCCGCGGGCTCTACCGTGGAATTTCCCGTCACAGTGTCCTGCCCAGCCCCAGATTGGCAGTGGTTACTGATAAAATCTCTGATGGCAGAGGGAGTTCAGAGTCCTTCCTGATGCTGCTGTCAGACTCTGGGCCCTGAACTCATTTTTGTTCTCCTGTCCATGGCTTATCTACCCATCTCTGCTTTGTTTACCCCAGAGAGAGTCTTACACACATTGAATTTTAAAGAACAGTGACTTTTAAAGAACAGAACTATAATGATTTATAACAGAAGACAGGGACTTCTGTTATAAATCATCATAATAACAATGGCAACAGCAGCCAAACTGAGCTCTGGTTACAGGCTCAACACTTTGTCTGCATATCTCCCTGGATCTTTCTAACAGCGTTATTATATAACAGTAACATTGTTCGTGTTCTTTAGATGATAACTGTGTCTCAGAAATCCTTCATAACCAGAATTCAAGCTATGTTTTTAAACACTGGGCTACACTGTCTCCTGGGGCGAGACTTATGTTAGAGGAGAACCACTAAAGCACTGCTTCTTATAACCCTCCTGATGATCAGGAACTTTACTCATGAAAATGAGGCATAGCGGGTATCTTAGCCCACTCAGGCCGCTATAAGAAAATACCATGCTCTGGGAGGTTTATAAACAACAGAAATTTACTTCTCACAGTTCTGGAAGCTGAAAGTCTAAGATCAAGGTGCCAGCCTTGATCCGGCATCTGGTGGTGGTGGTTGGGTACTAATTCTACTTATGAGGGCTCCACCATCATGGCCTAAGCACCTCTCAAAGGCCCACCTCCTAATACCATCTCTTTGGGGGGTCGTATTTCAACATATGAATTTGTTGGCATTGGGGTGTTGGAGGGGAAACATTTAGACCTCAGCAGCAGGGAAAAGCAGTAAGGCCTAAATTCCTTTTCTTGAATACTCAGAGGCTTCTCTTAAGCACCATGTTACAAGGTCAAGAGGCAGCAAGCTTGGGTTCCTGTGTAGGATGTGCCCGCCTCTACGTCTGCTTGTTTCATCTGTCCCAAAATGTGGAGGGTGGACATTAACTTTCATCTGTCCCAAAATGTGGAGGGTGGTTTCTGGTGAAGCGCTATTAGCCGCATCTTGAGAAGTTTTGTTTCAGTTCTTGGTATCTGTGGTTCAATTCTGAGAATGTATTTTAGTTTGCACTTTGTCTTCAATCCCACGCACAGGTTCTAACTGTGATGGTTAACTTTGAAGGGAGCACATTGCATGAGGAGAGATGCAAATGCTGTTTTCATCCTGTGGATTTATTTCACAGGATAGTTGAGTTCTATTCAGGGTACTGGCCAGAGAGCGAGTCTTAAGGATAAGCCTTTGAAAGCCCTTGGACTTCCCACACAATAAAGAGCAGATTGGAATCAGAGGGCGTGCATTTGATCCAAAAGCACAGGGAGAAACTTGGGAGCACCAGACAGCCTCATATCGTACATGTCCCAAGATGGCCTTGGAGTTTAATGATCTTTCTGTATTGGATGATATCTCTGACCTGTCCAAATGGAGTTGTTGTTATTTGTTTGTTTGTTCACGAGGTCTTTCTTTTTTTCTTTTTTGTAGAGGTGCTTATTTTCCAGCAAATTATAAAGATGGCAAGCGATTGTCCCATAGGACTGTAGAAGATAGTGCCTTGGGTTCCCTCTGACATGACTTTCTTCTTTCTCTTAACTGGCTGTGCCTAAGGGAGAGGAGACAGGCCAATTACATTTCTGTGCTTTTTCCGCTTGTGTTCTGACCCAGATTCTCAAATGTTCATTTGCATTCCACGAAGAAACAGAAACCCAGTTCCCAGGAGATACAGCAAGAGAAGGGTCTGCTCCATTGCTTTAGGCTGAAAAGTCTGGAGCCAGCCATGGGCCAGAAGAGAAGGCTGAGGAGTAAGCACTCAGTGAGTCACTTTGCTAAGGGGAAAAGGACTGTTCATCCCCTGCCCTGGGCTTGTTGGCTGTCTGGGAGTCCAGATAATGCTCTTGAATAATTTTATATGGGCATTAACTTTTTTCCAGAATCAAACCCTACAGAAAAGTTAGGGAAACAAAGGAGCATGGATCCCATTGAGCAGCATGATGGGCACTATTTTCTTTCCCGTTTCATGAGCTGTATTCAAGGAGAATTTAGCCATCATTGATATTTCAACCCAAACTCCTGGCGCCAGCCAGCGAATATTGGGTTTGCTATTGTTGACAAAGCAAACTATATCTCAGGCATGTTGAGTAGGGAAGATGTTACAGAAGAGCACAGTTTGTTTTTTATTCTTCCTCATCATGTTACGATTGAACATACAGCACATTTCAACACAGTTTTCAACTCATGGGTTTGACCACTTAGTGCCATATGCAGTTCTTGGCATGCTGGATTCTTGAGTACATGATAACCAATTTAAAGCCTGTCAATGTAGGAAACATCCAAACCTGTAAAGAATTTTTGAGTTTATTTGAGCCAAACTGACAATTATTGGGAAGCAGAATCTCACAGGTTAATAAAATGCTCTGGAGAATGGCAGTTTTACAGCTTATTTTATATATTCGGATAAAAAAAGATATAAGGGAAGGGGTTACATGAAATCCATTGGTGATAGATTAGGGAGGTGGGAGAAAGCAAAGTGGGGAAACCTCTGGGATTTATATAAAAAGTAAAATGAGACATCGGTGGGGATACTAAAGTTAACAGTTAACATTTACTGCACGTGAGATGGTATTCCAGAAACAAGATACCAATGAGGGGTTCTTTGGTCTGGTGTTCTGGTGTGGTGAGTGTTCCCTGAGAGGTCTGGAAAAGGAGGCTGACTTTCCAAAGATATGTTATCCTAGATGCAAAAAGATAACAGACTTAAGATAAAGATTGCACTTTGTCAAGGAAGCTATAGGCCTAGGGTGTTACTACCAGCCACAATGGACATCTGCTTTTTGGAATGTTTATGTTCAGAGCATTCTCTGTGGTTACTTTCGGTCTCGGGGGTGTAAGACCCGCCATGTGGCCTCCCCTAGTTTGTTAGGTTTAGCCTGTGACCCCTTTTTCATCCACAAGCTCCAAGTGCTTACTGTGGGAATTTGCTCTTAATTTTCCCCATGTGGAACTGGCCCACAGCCTCTGACTGCTAGACCTGATGTATTGTCTTGTACCCATATGCCTATGCAGCACAATACTTCTAAAGAAAATCACCTTTGAAATCTCTTCCAATTGAGAGAACAATCTCCACCTAATTTGACTTTTTTTTTTTTTTTTAAATTCAGAATTTAGTAAGATTTGCAGTATCCCTCCAAGATAAGATATGTTAAGCTAGGCTTTACTAGGAAACATAACTGTTGGATCTGTATGAATATACCAATCTCTAATATAATCTGACTCTTATTTCTCAAGAATATCATAAAGGACCATCAGCTGCTTTGCTAGTTCCAGATACCCGTGTGTTCTGAAGTTAGCTGGGCATAGCTTTGCTTGGAGAGCCCACTGTGAGGCTGTCCCTGTGAGCATTGCTTTCATGTCTAGAATTCACAAGTCATCTGTTTCCAAATCAATTCGTATGCTCAGTGATGAATAGCCCATGCTGTGTCATTGTTTTCTGGTATCTTCCTCTCCCCCTCTTAAAACCTGTGGCAATAGCTTTCTGATTTCCCATCTCCTGACATCTTTCTTATTCTCTTTCTTATCAGCAGACTTTCAGAATCCCCAAGTGTCTTTTATGTGAACCTGGA